TGGGCAAGCTCTAGCCTGCAATTCTCTCCCCCTCCCTTCCCTTCTTGCAGACAACACTGGGGGAGGAGTTGGACTGAATCAGCCCAGCCCTGATCATGCTGACAAACTGGTTCTAAGGTTCTCCACTTTGGAGCACCTTCATCTGATCCCTCATTAGATGAGGGTTAATTAGCCACATGGTTGGCCACATTTAAAGCACTCTGCAGCTGTGCACTTCTGTCAGGGCATAGCAGTAGAGCACTTTCAGGGGGCCAATCACATGGTAAATGTCACTTCTCTTAGCACCCAAAGTGACTCTCTCTTCAAAATAGAACTTGAGTCCTTCAGTGTCTAAGTCACTTGAACGTATTATCCATAATCTGGGTAAAATATGGGCTAATATTCATCAGTCTTTATTGTCCAATAATGGCTGCATTTTCTTTATTTTATTATGTTAGAAATAAACATGAAACAACCTCCACAAAACTCGGTACATATGACTAAATAGATATAGAGCATTTTTAAGCAGGAAACATTTCATATTTGGACACAATACCCAATACAGAAAAGTGAAAAGTGCTTTACAAATTCTGCAATACTTTCTCAAAGCAAAAGGTGCAGCTTTGCAATGCCTGAGGTACAAATAAGGGGCCCCTGCATTTTTGGATGTGGACAAGTTGTCTGCAATTTAGATTAGAGTTACATTTGGAAATTTATAAAATGACAACTCAGAGCCAGTTGCTGTTCAGCCTCAATCAGAAAGAAATCTGAGCTACCTTGAAATCTGCATTCTGTTTCATGGAATTTTACCAGGAAATCAGAGTACTATTTGCAAAATGCCCCACAATAATCTCAACACTGAAGACCCTGACCCATCAAAGAATTTACTAACTCAAACCAGGAAATGTCTCACTGGACCAAATCCAGAAATCCTTATTCAAACCTAGATTATAAATCCTGATCCATGATAAAGATGGAGGAGGAAGAGAAGGAGGCGCCTTTGCACAGGTATTTCCCCTCATGAGCAGAATGGGAAGGGAAGTCCTGTTCTGTTACCACTACTGCTGTCCTCTTCCACAAGGATGATCCTAATCACTCCTTATTATAGCACTGGTAGCATGGGTACAGTGGTAGAATGCCAAGAAATGGAGGGAGATGTTGCTTAGAACTTTGTATCTTAAGGTTTTCAGATGGTTTGGGCCTGGATCATTAGTACAGTCATTAAGGCAAATATCTACCCCGGGTAAAGTGGGGCATTGGTTGGACCCTTTTATTCAGTTCTTCCTCAAACTAAAAAGCATTGCAGTGGATGACAGTTTTCCTAAGTACAGGTGGAGTAAATGTAGAGTAAGCAGCTTAGGTTTTGTCTCTTAATGTTTGCAAATGGCTGCACTGAGTAGTCAAATTGTAACCAGTGTAAAGATGAGAGAGAGAGAGAAATATCTTTAATAGATTTTAACATTTAGATTTCAACACATTTTTCTGAAATGTAAATATTAAGATCTACCTTGACACTGAGGGGGGAAGGGGCTTGCTATTTCTTAAGTGTCTTCTAGTTTACGGGTGAAGCGCACCGACCATAAAAGAGAATGCTGTTGGTTGCATTGTGTTTGATAAAGAAGAGAAAGGGGTGGTCAGCCTTGAAGTCATGAGCACTTTTTCGACTTATCACAACCCCTGTACCTGTACTTGCTTCCGTGCCCTCTTCATTAACATCCACATAAGACTTATGGAGGGCTCTGGACACATACAGCTGAGCAGACTTTGACATTCCTGTTAAATCAGACTTTTTAAAACTGAACACATCTAGCACTCCCATAGCTTGTAGACTTGACTTGAGGTTGTAATCTTCCTCCATTTTGAACCGGGGCAGATACACATTCACATTTTGTTTGTTCATATTAGCTGAGCTGATCCATTCTGCTAATTTCTCATAAGTGAGTGCACTTTCAAGCTGCAAAGGTAAATAAAAAGAGTCAAAGTCATATTATGATGGGTCGAAAGGACCAAAGAACTGAGTGAGTAGAGCAGAAGCTGATGTTAAGGAAATGGTACACTACAGTTACAATGCCAAGTAGGATTCTGTAAACAAAAAAACTGGATTAATGTCATAGAGTGTTTATACACATGCTCTGGGAGGTGAGGGGGAGGGAGGGAGGCATTTTAATTAGAGCAGCTCCAAGAGCCACTATAAAGCATCCAGACTATCGTGTGTATCAATATCCCCACGCTGAAAAAAGGTGGCAGGGGTGCTTTAACTAAAGTTCATCAAATGAGCTTCCCACCACCATTTTTCAGCATGGGGATGCTGATACACACAATGCTGGAGTCTGCTAGAGGACAGTCATTACCATGCTCCAGCAGACTCGATTAATCAAGTCTGCTCTGATGCACTGTATTTACAGCGTGTCAAAGCAGCATCAATGTATGTGTAAATATGCCCATACAGTTTTGCTAATAAAGCTGATAGAAAAGCAGGAGGGGGAAAACACTTGTAAATGTTGTAAATCCTTTTTCCTTTTTTTATCCATTTCAGTGAAATTTGAAAAATTCCAACCGCATTCCTGTTAAACTGGGGAGGGGGGGCGGGAATTAAATGATTGTCCTATGTTTTCATCAACATTATATATTTAATAACTTTTTAAATTTGAAAAATTCAGCCAGCCTTAATCAGCAGTATCTTGCATATTACATTTTGTCCACTGAAAACAAATTATACCGATATTAAGAAAAATAAACAGGTTCTGCTTTAATGCTGATCATTGCTTTGTCTGCAGGGTTAAGTTAGGATCAGATTCATTGTTAAAAAATGGTGAAATATCTACCCATGTCCAGGAACTCAGCAAGCATATGAACAGCGCAAGCTTGTGCTTATATCTAGTTATGGAGTTCCTTCATAGCCCATAATAATGGGGAGAAAATATAATGAAACTCTAATATTGCTAATTACCTTCTGTCTCTACCATTCAGACAATAGGAAATATACAAAGGAGTGAGCATATTCACAGTCAAGGTACACAGGGGCCATCACATACGTATAAGAGATGGAGCCTTTACCTGTTCTAGGCCAGTGGAATTATCACCAATGTCTTTTGGTAGAAGAATAAACATACTTAATTCATTGTCAATATATGGGAGCTCCAGCACTTCAAGATGAGGTTCCTTTATGATGGCCAGTTTGAATGTACTATTCAGAAACATCATCTGCACACTTCTTATCTCATTCTGTAATACACACAACAGGTATTAAGAAAAAAATAGAAGATACCGAGTTCCTAAATGAAATCTATATCTGGCTTGGTATTAAATCTTGCTTGAGTTATCAAAACTCAGAAAGCATAGTCTTAGGAATGGTCAAAATTTGAATTATCCACATTCAAGCACTAAATGTATCTCTGAGCTTATTTGACGTACAGAACTGTACACTGTGCTTACCTGCCTCTCTGTTGCTGATCATTATAAATTACCTTACCTAGTTAGGGGCCTGCTACACATTAACATTAAAGCTGGATACAAACAAGCTATAGATTTGTTACATCTTTTAAAGCACTAACTTTATAGTGGGTTGACTTTTTTATAGCTGGATAGTAATTTTTATTGTGTGAAAATTCCTTTGCACTGTGGCTGGTTTAAATGTATGTGCAATTAACCAGTTAATTGTGTAATATATGTAATATGCAGCAGGAGCCTAAGACAAAGCAAGATCCACTTTACCTGGATCCTAGAGGTAGGTATCTTTTCCTCCAATTCTCTCTCTTCAGTTTATGTTTATTTTAATATAAACTAGGAAACTTAAAAATGACACCCTAGAGTAATGTGCATATGCTAAAGGAAATGGCATTTCAAGCTCCCTGCATTGTTTTTTGGGCTTTTTGCTAGATTTCTAATATAGGGTCATGACATTCATCTTAAACATATTCTTCTCAAGCTAAGAGTCATGTCTTGCTTTGTTGAGTGATGTATCCTAAATCTTACATAGGAATATAACTTCTCATTGAATGAAGTCTTCTGTTCTGCTGCCATGATCTCCCCCCGCTCCCACACCCTTCTCCCCCCTCCTCCCGTTAGTGGCAGAACTCCTAATGACTTTTAACACCCAAACATAAACTTGCTTTGGGGCTCACTTTCAGCATCTATCCAAATGTCCGGGGGGGATGAACCAAGCCCCAGTGTCACGGTGGGCCAGGGTGACGATTGACCACAAAAACAGGTGGGATTCTTGGCGATGGAGTACTGAGTGGCTCGGAAGCGTAATGGTTTCTTAAACAAGGTGGGTTTATTTGACTTACGCTTTTTAGGCGCAGGCACAGTAATTCTTCAGT